CCTTCCTCGGCGAACTAAAAAGCAAAATCAGCATTACGATCAAGGTTATTTTGTTCCAAAATAAATACAATTGTAATCTTAGATATTCTTATAATATAAATAATTATATTAAAAAACAATTATTTTGTTCAGAAACAAACTATCAAAAATAATTTAGAAAATTCGATTAGATCGTGCAACAAGAATGGTTTCGAAGATATTAACGTTTCTGCGATCGTTTCGAGGCGGTTTTTTAATATTCCACGGTCGAATTAAAAATCGATGCAGGTGCGCCACGTGGAAAGGTTGCGTAGATCCAGAAGAATGACGAAAGAATCTGTTGAAATCTGGGATCAAAGTTCCATCACTTTGATCCCCGGATTCTGCGGCATCGTCCGCGCGCGCGCGCGCGCCTCTGTCTGAAAAATACATACATTTCCTCGCGGCAGACAGGGCCGATGCGAGCTCTATATCATGGTCTTGCGGGGTAACAGGCTCCGTTCTTTCCAAAAATTGACAGTTTTGCTTTTATCAACTCTGGCGTCGACACAGCCTCGCAACGAATCGAATTAAATTCCGTTTCGTCGAAATCGTTTCCCTATCTCGCGTCCGTTAAAACAACGAGAAATACAATAACCGTCGCGCGCACCATTTCGAAACTATGTAAATGTATTCAACGATGTTCGAGAAAACAAAAATGTACAGTTACTTTTGTACGGTCGAACGTTCGCAGGATTTAAAGTTACGAACGAAGCTTACGAACCGAAAACTCGAATGCACGAAATCGCTCGGGCGTCGTCGCGTTCGGGAATTTTTTTCCGCCGCGGCCAGCGAAAGGATCGTTGCAACAAAATTCTGGGATGTTGTTTGAACGTCGTTTAAACGGAGAAAAATATTCGTTGTCGAAATTTTGGGAATTCGGGCGACGAAAAAAAATGTTCAATCTCATATTCCAGAGAACTATACGTAAAAGATTAATCGTAAATAAATCGACGATATTTCGATAAATAAATAATAATAATGTACACAGAAAATTTGCACGCGAGTTTTTCTTAAATCTGTGATCAGCCAGAACATTGTACTCTCGAATTTGATTGGCCCGAACGGAACAATGCAGAGAGGAGCGGCTAATCGGATGAAGGAGTCGCAAGGACGAAGGAGAAGAAAACGGGAGGAACGAAAGGCGGCGGAGGCGCGGCGCAACGAAATTATCGCGTCCCGCTGTATTTTATCTGCATCGGTGTTTAAACAACTCCCATTATTTTCGGAATGCGCCTCCGGTCGCGGGCCGTTAGAACGCGCAAAGTAAAATATCGCAGCGCCCCGCGTTATCGCGCCTCGCGATCGAATGTTCTAATTATTCCGCCGCCTCGCAGTCATTGTACCGTCGTAGTCACTCGGAACTTCGATTAAAATTGTTCGCGGGCTCTTTCCAGGTGATTCTACGTGCACAGAACCGGGAACTTTGGCGCCGTACGCGACGCCAGACACCGTTGAAACGTTCTGCAAAATCTGTACCGAAGAATTAACTAAGAATTCGGCACCGGCTAACATTATCCGCGAACAAATTTAGCATCGCGAAACTATTACGGAAAATAACTTAGGGACGCTTGAAGAGGAGGCTTCGCTCTTTAAAACGAGCCGCGTTCCACCGTTCTACGATCTTTTCTCGCGAAGTTGCAACCCGTTGAAATCTTCAGATTTTACGAGCAGATTTTAATTTGAAAACTTTCTTGGGAAAGTGCTATCTTTACATTTTTGCCCGCCGCTTCCCTGAAACATTTTTCAGGGAAAGGCAATTCGGTAGCGCGAAACTAGAGACTTCGATCTTTAAAATGAGGTATGCTGCGTTGTCCTACGATTTTTTTTCACGAAGTTGTCGGACTTTATAGAGACGTTCGAATTCGTTAAATTTTTCAGGGGAAACACGTCTTCAGTTTTTTAATCGCCGCTCAAGGTAGACATTTTTTAGCAAGAAACAAGTAAGCCTGTCGAAACTAGAAGCTTCGATCTTTAGAATAAGCTAAGCTACGTCGTTCTACGATTTTTTTCCATAAAGTTGCAATACGTGGAACATGTCAGGCTTTATGGAGACATTTAATTTGACGAGAGTTGAACGAAATGATACATGTTCGCTTTCCCGGCGACCACTTAGGTGAAAAATTTTCTAGAAAACAGTCGTTCCACACGCTGAGACTATAATCTTCGCGCTTTAAAACAAGCTTAGATACGACGCGCCCCGATTTTTCCCCTGAAAATTACAGCCCTTTGGATTATCCGATCCCTGGCCACCTAAAATTCTCTAAGAAATCACCGACCTCCATTTTCTCGATCGCCGTCGCCGACATACCGCCACGAAAAAATCCACCTTGTACCGTCGAGATCACAAAGGTAGCCGCTTGAAAATGCATCCAGTCCGAGCTTGATCCACCGATCCCCGGCAAACTTACACCAGATTAAACATCCTCGATTCCGGGGCCAAGATTTCCCTCGAAAATCCTCCGAATTTCGATTCTCCTCGGGCGTTCGATGTTCGATAGCTGCTGTCGGGTCGATCGTGGCTGGAAGAATAAAATAAAGAAGCGGAAGGGAAGTCCAGGGTCGTGGCAACGACCCCGTGCCTCGACTATCCCCCCCCCCCCCCCCCCCCCCCCACCCCCCCCCCGACCCCCCTCTCCCCCCCGGCCCCCCCCCCCCCTCCCAAACCTCACTCGTGTACANGCCTCCCCCCCCCCCCCCCCGACAAAGGCTCTTCCGGAGCTTATTATTATTTGTTCGACGACGGGTGCCGCATGGGCCGCGTCCCTTGGCGCGTCTTCTTTCGGTATCAGATAATCCCTGGGAGAAACACAGACACGCGCTCGTATAGCAACGCGAATAAACGCGGCGCGGACAGCTGCGAATGTACGAAATACGAGAATCCCGAAAAGCAAACCCTCCCCGGCCATAATCGCCCTCGCACCCTTATCACCTCGAAATTCGTCGTTTCTCGCGAATTTCTCGATGTAGATCGTTGTATCTCGCTGGAAATTGTACTTACGAAGCTGATCATTTTTCTCGACGTTCTTCGAAGCGCCCTCTAGACGTGGTAAAATTATAAAAATTTTCCGCTCGATTGTTTAACCGTTAAAAATTCCCAAAGTTGCTTTTTCTAATCGTAAGATTTCATAAATGGCTTATTTTGACTAATATAACTTGTTACAGCTTACCGCGTGCACTATCTTCAAAAAATTTTTTAGAAAGAAATGAATTATACGGTGAAAAAGTAGAGACTTCAGGCTTTAAAATGAGCTTAGTTTTGCTGTACTGCGATTTTTATTCACGAAGTTATAGTATTTTGAATATCGTCGATTTTTCGACGAGTAGAAATTTCGTGTGAAAAGACTAGAACGGGGATTCCCATTCGTCGCATCATAGATCAATTTTTTTAGAAGAAACTGACTGATAACATCTGAAAGCAGACACTTTGGGCTTCAAAATAGGCTCAGTCTCATTGTTGTGCGATTTTTGTTCGCAAAGTTAGTAGTATTTTAAATATCGTCGATTTTTCGAAAATACGAAATTTTGTGTAAAATCTAGAACGAGGTTTCCCATCAGTCACATTATAAATAAATTTTTTTAGAAGAAACTGACTAACACTACCTAAAGGTAGACAATTCGGGCTTTAAAATGAGCTTAGTTACATTGTCGTATGATTTTTTTGTACAAAGTTATAGCTGTTTGAATGTCGTCAATTTTTCGAAAATTCGTAGCTTCGACGAAAGTACTAAAATCTAGAACGAGGTTCCTTGTTTTTCGCCAGTCGCCGCTTAACTCGGGGCTTCATTTCCTTGGACTGCCTCTTCCAAGGTACACCGCCTCTAAAAAATGACAGTCTGTCACTGGCAATCACGTTGCGGTAGCTTGTCCGTCACGTTCGAGGCGAGATTCGTCCGCGAGGAAATTAAACGCGCGGTGTAAACTGATGTAATGAAGGTCGAGCCAGCGTTTGCCGAGATTTCGCTGGCCTTTCTTGGAGAGGCAAGATTAATTCGGGTTTCTGGTAAACTCTCCACGGTATTTTGTTGTTGGTTTACGTTCTTCTTTGATTTTTACGATTGCAAATCGCGATTGTATCGTGTGATTAATAGACCAAAATCGATTATCTTGAGTCAAGAGATGGGGGATGTTTGTTCTGTTGGAAGTTCCCGAACAGAGATCGGAGGTCAATGCAGCTGACCTCATTTTCAAGGGTGGAGACTGTAGTTTCGCTATGTGGAATTTAGGTCTCCCAGAATTATTTTGTTGCACGTGGTTTACGACGGAGTAAAGAAGGTTTTATTCCTGAAAATGTTACCTATTTCGATGGCTTCAGAAAGTCTGTCAACTTTGACCTGCTGCAACTAGGCGAATAAAAATCGGAGAACATTATAATTAGACTGATTTTGAAGGGCGAAGTCTCTAGTTTTGCTTTGCGGAATTTAGGTCTCCCAGAATTATTTTGTTGCAAATGGTCTACGACGGAGTAAAGAAGGTTTTATTCCTGAAAATTTTACCTATTTCGATGGCTTCAGAAAGTCTGTCAAATTTGACCTGCTGCAACTAGGCGAATAAAAATCGGAGAACATTGCAGTTAGACTGATTTTGAAGGGTGAAGTCTCTAGTTTCACTATGTTGACCTTGATTTACCTAGGATTTTTTTACTACAATTGGTACAGGAGAAAGTGTAGGTGCTTGTCGTCTGAAAAATTTGACCAACTCAAATGTTCTCGTAAAGTCTATCGACTTTGACCAATCACAGCTCAGTAATAAAAAATCGTGCAACGATGTGTCGTAGCTCATTTTAACGGGAAATTCTTCTACTTTGTAACGAGTGCATATAATCCGCTGTACGACGCTTACTGAACCACTTTGTAGAACATTAAGCGAGACGTGTAACTCTGCAGTGCATATTCTATACATCGTAATATTATTCTATCGTTCGTATTGCTTGTCAATTGTGATTGTTTAATTGGATGAATGTTCTGTTGCATTTGTTACAGGAGAAACGTCAAAGCCGATCACCTGCAGTTTTGATGAAACTATACAGGTCAGTGGTGACGAAATTCGTCTGCATAAACAAATCCACTAAATTTTTTTTCCACGACCGTAATAAATCCGGATTGCTTTTCAATATAAATATTTACCCCGTCCGTCTGAAAATGTATTTACACTAAAGTGGATTTGTAGCTGCGCCAATATTTAACCATTAATCAATATTCGATATTCCAACCGTGCCGCGGCCGAGCAGGAATTGTAGAAATCAAGGGTAAATTCATTCCGGTGTCTAAACAAATTATTAGTACTGGGGTCGTTAACATCGCCACAAGAGACGACCCATTAAATCAATACTATTACAGAGCAGCCGAATTAAATAATTAATTCGATTTATTAATACGACAAGTAAATACAAGCTGTGCCCGGCCGTTGGACGAACTCGATCCAATTTTCTGGTTCGTAAAACCGCTCAAAAAAATCGCACGGCATATTTTTTGCAATCGTTGCAAAGAGGACACTTTGATCTTCGAATTCGCAATAGTTTTATTGCCTAGAATAATTTTATAATGTTTCTATGGACGTTCGAATGTGCAACATTTTCGAGGAAAAACGTGTCTTCAGTTTTCCACGCGCAGTATCGTGAACAAATTTTTTAAGCAAAATTTAATTACGCGGTTAAATAGTAGAAACTTCAGGCTTTAAGATGAGCATAGTTTCGTTGTTGTATGATTTTTTTGCACAGAGTTATAGTATTTTGAACATCGTCAATTTTACGAAAATTAGAAAGTTCGTGTAAAATCTAGAACCAGGTTTCCGATTCGTCATATCATAAATCAATTTTTTTAGAAGAAACTGACTGATGTCTTCTGAAAGTAGATACTTCGGGCTTCAAAATGGGTCCTGTGCCATTGTTGTACGATTTTTTTTTACAAAGTTATCGTATTTTTAATATCGTCAATTTTACGAAAATTCGAAATTTTTAGTAAAATCTAGAACAAGGTTTTCGATCCGTCATATCATAAGTAAATTTTTTTAGAAGAAACTTGCCAATGTCTTCTGAAAGTAGACACTTCAATCTTTAAAATGGGTCCAGTGTCATCGTTGTACGATTTTTTTTTACAAAGTTATCGTATTTTTAATATCGTCAATTTTACGAAAATTCGAAACATCGACAAAAGTGCATCGACGACATAATTATCCTAAATTATTGTTTCGAATATGCGAGATTAATGATAATTAAGTAGAAACTGTATAGAATTCTTTGAAGTTCGATTGCAGATGGAACAGCGCGTGTATAACGCGGTGAAATCGACCGGACACTTACAGCACGGATATTTAAATACGCTCTCGGGTAACAGATTCCGCAAATAATACTTCATGTATCGGCGACTTCAAAGGGATTTATTCGAATCGATCGGGCCGAGGATATCCGGCATGTAACCGCGCCAACTGGACAAGTTGATTAATCGTGGGATAGGTGGACGTGGCCAGGTACACGTGTGTGTCCGGCTTCGTAATTGAATTGACTAATATGGAAAATCGAGACATAATAGCGCAACCCATAACTGTGTCCGATACGAATTCATCAGGGAATCCATTAATGTGGGTGCAGTACGGCTCTCGTCTGCTTTCTTGTCACTGCGAGTACGCCATTTTCCCGTGTCCTTCGCGTGTTCCCTCCTTATTTCGCGTTATTACTTCTAGGGAAATTTATTTCGCTGGGGGCTTCGATGAAACGTAATTTGCATTATTTAATTATCGTTAATTAGTGCGGTCCGTATTCAATTATCGACTCCTTGATTCCGGCGTTGGAAATGTAGAGAAATTTCTTTCAATATCAATTTGCAAGTTTTGTAGCAACAATTTTAATTTAGCGAGATTTTGCTTTTTTTATTCTACGTGAAATCCTGGGGGAAAAGAAGTTGTTTAGATTTAAATTGTTGTAACTTTATGGAAAAAAATCGTGGATTGATCTAATTTGGCTCGTTTCAAAGAGCGAAGTTTTTACTTTCGAGATATCCTAGGGTTTTTTATTTAGACCATTTTTACACCGCGGGTGACGAGAAAACGACATACCTGCGTTTCTTGAAAATTTGCAAACTTATATATCCCCAGGATGTTTAAGCTATCGTAACTTTCTAAACAAAAATCGTGCGATAATCTGACTTAGCTCATTTTAAAGCTCGTAATTTCTACTTTGACAAACCATAAGTTATCTTTTATTTAGGATATTTGTTCGTCGCGAATCAATCGAAAAGCAAGCAGTGTTATCTCGTTAAAAATTTCACAGACTCAAATGCCTCTATAAAAGTTCACAAAATGTAACATGTTGTAACTTCCTAAAAAAAAATTGCACGACAATCTACCTTAGCTCATTTCAAAGCCTGAAGTCTCCGCTTTCACAATCCTTAAGAGATTTTTTATTTAGTCAATTTCTTCCTCTTTGAATCAGGCGAGAAACCAAAGATTCGTCCTTCCCTTACGCGTTTCAGAAACTCAAAATTCAAACCACTGTAACATCGTGAAAAAAAATCGTAAAATAATCTACCCTAGCTTATTTGAAAGCTGAAACCTTCTTCTACAACCGAGGTGGGCTGTCTTCTGCGGACAATATTTTTCGAAGCAAGTTTTCAACGTTCCCAACCGGTCGACTCGCTGTTAATAGTTTCGCACCGGTGGAACTGTATCTCGCGTTGCCGGTGTAACTCAAAAGTGTGTATCTCGGTTGAAGTTCGACAGCCGGCCCGACGAAGTCGATCCATCGTCTAACAAAGTCATCGAAAGCATCGAGGCGTTCAGCTCCTCCGACTTGCTCCACGCAGGAAGCCGGGATTAGTGCTGGGTTCTGTTCATCCGACGCTGATGGAATCTGAGCCTTCATTTAGCCCGCTCCTGTCAAGCCTTTCTCCTCCACCGACAGTTACCCCGCCCCCCTCGAGTTCATCTTTCGTCGATCTATGTTGCATCGCGGATGCAAATGTCCTGCATACGTTACCGAATGACTCAACCGCCCTCGCCCCTCAAAATCCTCGAAACACTTTACGCAAATCTGCTCGCATCCACGGAAATGTACCTAGAAATCCCCGAAAGCGCGTCTAGGGAATTTCGTCAATTAAATCTGGTGAACGCCGCGCGGTAGAATTGGCCTTTTCGCGGTACGAATCGTTGCACGAATTTCTTTCACGAAACCGCAGCAGCTCGAATTCTGCAAACTTTTTGAGAAAATTTGAGTCTGCGATATTCTCAAGGAAAATACACCCCTTCGTTATATCGCCGGATTTGTACAGAACAAATTTCTGCATAAAAGATACCGTACAGATCGTTAAAATAGAAACTTCGAGCTTTAAAATGAGCTAAATTAGACTGACGTACGATTTTTTCTCGCGAAGTTATAGTAGATTGAATTTTGTAAACTCTACAAGAGCAATTTCAACTTCAGAAAAATACACCCCTTCGTTTCATCTTCGGATTTGTGCTGAAAAGATTTCTACATAAAATATACCGTACAGATCGTTAAAATAGAAACTTCGAGCTTTAAAATGAGCTAAATTAGACTGACGTACGATTTTTTCTCGCGAAGTTACAGTAGGTTGAATTTTGTAAACTCTACAAGAGCAATTTCAACTTGTGGAATTCTTCAGAAAAATACACCCCTCCGTTTCATCTTCGGATTTATACCGAAAAACTTTCTACGTAAAATAATACCGCAAGGATCATTAAAGTAGAAGCTTCGAGCTTTAAAATGAGCTAAATTAGACTACCGCGCGACTTTTTTTCGCAAAGCTACAGTAAATTGAATTTTGCAAACCGCCAGGGGAATTTAATTCGTGAAAATTCTGAAGGAAAATACACCGCTTTACTTAATCGTCGGATTTGTACTAACAAACTGTCTGTATCAGAAATACCTTCAGGAACGTTAAAGTAGAAACTTCGAACTTCAAAACGAGGTAAATTAGATTACAGTACGACTTTTTCTCACGAAGTTACAGTAGGTTGAATTTTGTGAACTGTCGAAGAAAATTTCGTCTCTCGAAATCCTTGAAACATTTACGAATTCGAACAATTAAATTTGATGAATTCTGGACGATGTAAAATTTTAGATCGATAAAAAACCGATCTGTCAAAATCTGCGACATATACTTTCGAAAATGGCGGCCGGCGTCAGAAGGAGGATCTTCGACCCGCGTCTGTTGTACAGTTTTGTATACCGGGTGTGATAGGATTATTGCGGAACCCTTCGTTTTCGAATTAATATAGTTAGTCATAGTTCGAAAGCGATGTATAAAACATTGGCAGCGGCGTCAGAACTTTCCGCGCTGGCTTTCCACTTCGGCCTGTTCTTCTTTTTTTTTGTGCAGCTCCGCCGGCGCTTCACGCTCGAATCCCTCTGGCTTTTAGATCTCATTAAATTGCATTCTAGTTATCGAATTAAAGCGCAGGCTACGTCGAACGAAAGCCATTCCCTTTAATTCTCCAATTTGCCGAGAGGAACGTAATCTCAATGGACAGATTGTTCCGAGAGTTTCGCCCGAGCTAAAAATCACTTCGACAATTCCCTCCGGTGTCGTCCTTTTTCTTAGTCGGAACTTTCTCAAAATCTGCGACGCCTCGCCTCCGAAATCCTTTTACAAGATCGGTGATTGCGCCGGAACTGTAGCTTTGCTTGCTGCGTTCGACAACCATCGGGAAGAAATTAGCCCATGGCGACGCAGCAAGAACAGGCTCCAAGCTTTGGAATGAGGTAAATCAGATTACCGTTCGACCTTTTTTTCATGATGTTACAGCACGTTGAATTTTATAAACTGACTAAAAACAATTTCAACTTGTGAAATTCTTCGGAAAAATACACCCCTTCGTTTCATCGAAGGGACTTGAATGAAAAAACTTTCTACATAGAATATACCGTAGGGATAATTAAAGCAGAAGCTTCGAGCTTTAAAATGAGCTGAATTAGGCTAATATACGATTTTTTTTCATGAAGTTACAGTAGGTTGAATTTTGTGAATTGTCTGAGAACAATATCAATTTGTGAAATTCTTCGGAAAAATACAC